GTAAAAAGTAACAACTCCCCCCCCCCCCCCCCCCCCAACGCGGAACATAGAGTATGGCAAGTCGAACCAAATTAGTTTATTTTAATAAGTTGTAAAAGGACGTAAAAGAGATGGGAGGACTTGTGTAGGCGTTAGGGTTAACCTGAGACTCTCCATTCTTGTGTTCTAGTTCCTTACCATACCTATGCATATCTGTGTCTGCCACAATCTTCTAGTGCAGAGCTTTCCAAACTGTGTGCCGTGACACATTAGTGTGTCGGCGGCAGTGTGTAGGTGTGTCGCGCGAAATGCAGAAAATTTTGCGGAAGGGCACCGCGGAGCTCCCTTACTCGCGTCTGCTTCCCTTGGCCCCTCCCCCGGAACTGAATTACTGTGTTGCGAAATGATGCGTGTCTAAAAAGTGTGTCACCAACATGAAAAGTTTGGAAAGCTCTGTTCTAGTGTCATGTTGGGAAAGTTGCTTAATCTCTCTTGTCTCACTTAAGCTTTTGGTTTAGGGAGGGCAAATTGCAGGAACAAAGAAACCCAGGTTTTTGATGGTGGGCTTTAAAAAGTGGGGAGTCAGGTGGGTCCAGAAGGACTTCCAGAGCCATACAGGAAATGTTAAGATGGGGCAAGAAGAGAAGAACATATTTTTTAGGAAAAATAGGCCTCCTTTAACTGCACTACTAGCCAAAGTGAAAGCTATGTGACCTGAGAGGGGGGAAAAACAGGTGCTGTAAAGTTGGAGGATAAGCTATTAACTGCAGAAGAAACCTGGGATTTCATATGACTTTAACCAAATCTCAAATAATTGTCCACCCTGATGAAGAAAATAGGGCAGAAAAGCTAATATAAAGGTTGCTATGGTATATGCATGTCTTTTGTGCTAAGTAAGGAGTCTTAGAGTTTGAGCCACATCATGTGATGCCATTTCTCCACCGTGTGTCCATGAAAAGTGAATCTGAATCCAGGGGGCCCATGCCGTTGGAATTCTTGGACTGCATATGCTTAAACTCCTGGAAAATCTAAGCCAGGGGTTGTCAACCGTGTGTGCATACCCCCAGGGGTACTTGAGAAGTCCTTAGTGGGTATGCGTGGGCGGGCGGGGATGAAGCGCCACCACACACCATTCTGTGCTGCCATGTAGGTGCTGCCTGCCTGCCCGCCCGCCTGGCCACCTGGGGTACACAGACCAGGGGTTTTCAACCTTTTGGGATCAAAGCCATCAGCCCTAGTCCCAGTGTCTAGGCAGTGAAGTCACAGGAGTTTCAGCTCTTAAAAGGGTGTAAAAGGCAGATGTACATCTGAGAGTGCCTAAAGAGCTTGTCAGGAACAGTGCTTGAACCCTATTGTGTCTCAGAGAATCTTAGGAGCACATAGGTCCTGCAGATTGTAACCTAACAAAGAGGGCACCAGGTATGGGGCATCACCAGGGATGCAATAGGTTACCTTACTCCCTCATTTATGTCACTTCAGTGTGGCCTCCAATATTGCCCCAAATAAAAAAAAAATCAAAAAAATCAAAACAAGCCAATCTTTCCTGGGGAATACACCTTTAGTGAAGCCAGCAGTTGGAATGAGTGGTCAGCACAGCCTCCTTAAATTACAGGTAGATTAGAAACTTGGTTGTATGACAGTTAAATGCTTAAAGGTAAACCATGGCCGCATTCTTTGGCTCTTAATGTCAGTAAATGTGAGAAACTCAAAAAGACAGACAAGGTACTTTGGATAAATCCAATTATCTTTTTTTAGACCAACTCAAAAAGTTGGAAAAATTCTTCTTTGCAAGCTTTTGGGTAAAATTACCCTTCATCAGGGCTCTTCCTCTGCCTGGCAAAGGGTAATTGTACCTGAAAGCTTGCAAAGAAGAATTTTTCTAACTATTTGAGTTAGTCTAATAAAAGATATTGGATTTACCCAAAGTATCTCGTGTGTCTATGTCAGTAGACCAACATGGCTACAAGTTACACCCCAGAAACTCAGAAAGATATCAGTTAGCTAACACGTGACAGTTTCTTGTTTGGGTCAAAGAATAGTATATTTTCTCACGTGCAACACATGCTTTTTCCCAAAAAACAGCTACTGAAAATTTCCGTGCATATTATACGTGAGAAATGTAATAGGAACAGTTTCTGCTGGTAAGAGCAAAAGTTAAAAGTTAGAATCTTCACTGGATTCACATGGAGCAGAACAGTGAGCTGGCTTTTCTCCCTAGTTGCTTGCTAATTAGTTACTTATTTCAGTAAAAGATATTTTTTCCTTCATTCTGCCTTTCAAAAACATGATGTATATTATATTCTGGGACATGCTGTAAGAGAAAATATGGTAATATAATAACAGTATGCTCCATATAAATGTTATCCCGGGTGCTTGTTTTTCTTTTGTCCTGAATTGCTGGCTTGGTATCTGAGACAGCAAGTTGCTTTTAATAGGTCTCATCATTATGTGCCAAATTACTTTTAAGGGATACCATCCATGTATCTCTTTGGGTCTGTCCCTGCTTGTTTTCACATGCACTCTGTTCAGTCCCAAACCTGTTCTCTCAACTCTGGCTAAGTACTCATTCATTTCTGAGACCAACTGCGACTTCTCGCTCATAAGCCTACAAATCCATGAGAACATTAGGTGGGTGGCCTCAGTGAGGTTCTAGTTTGGTATTTTGAGTGCATCTGTGCTTTTGTACATCACTTGCCTTTTTAAATAATATATATTATTAGTTGTTTGCATTGTGATAGCCCCTGGAAATCTCAGTCTGTTGAACTAGGCTGTGTAAGAACATGTAATAAAAACCTATGCATGCTCCAAAGAGCTTACAGTCTTGACACCCATGAGGATTTTGGTCCAGTTCTACTACTTTATATCAGTAATACTTCCATTTTGATCTTTTTCCTGGTAAAGAATTTTAAGAAGTTTTAAAACTCAAACAGGGTTCCCATGATTGAAGTCTTGTTGACAATGATAGCGGATGATAAAATTTTAGCTACCAAAGAATACTTCCATGTTTTCACAACTGGATACAGTATTATTCCCTGCATCAAATCCAAGTGATCTTGGCTTTTACCTTCACCAGTCAAATTTAATTTCGCCCCTTTTACTCGACAGTGATTTTTTTAAAATTAGAACTAGTGTAGAACAAAGGCATCCACGAGGAGGTACCTGGAGTAGTTTAATAGAAAGTAGCTCACTGTTTATTATATGGTCTTGAATTTTCTTTCTTCACTTTCTGTAGTGATGGGATGTACATTGCTTTCTCAAATTAGCCATCAAATACAATGTTGGCAAGTCCACAGACTGGCTGGGTTGGTTTAGTCAGGGATGATCCTGCCTTGAGCGGGATCTTGTGAGGTCCCTTCTAGCCCTACTTTACTGTGATCTTCTGCTCCTTTGATTTATTGGGAAAGTTTGTTAAAATGTTATCTATAATTTTAACAACATACTGAGTTTTCTAAAAATTCTTTGCAGGACACATGCACGCATTCTTCTGTCATCTCAATATATCTCCAGGAAGTGACCATTTTTTTTCCCCCCCCCCCTAATATTCCATAGAATTTTACCTTTCCTTTTATTCTGATCTGAGTACAATTCCCAAAGAAAGGAGGTGGAGCCATGTGGTGGTGTGATTTGTTTTTGTTTGTCTGCTTAATTCCTGATTTTAGTTTTGTTTGGACTCTTCCTCTCCACATTGATTTCTAGGACCAATATCAAAACAGGATATTTCTTTCCCATTTGGAACAAATTACTTTATGCAGTTTAGCACTTTACATATGGTCCATGGACACTATATTAATTCAGCAGATAACTTTACTAAAAGTCCACAAGCAGTTGGTCAAGGGAGTGATTCTCAAACTTTTTAGATTCTAAGCAGTCCTTGGAAAATGTCAGCTTTTAGTTTTCACTGCATTTTGACTGCAGAAAAAATAAGAAAACATTTGTGCTTTTGCAAAGAGCTTAGAAAGACCACAGCAGGTCAGAATGCTTTTTATGCTTTGGATTACTATTTGAAATCTCTGATATAATTTATGAATCATGTTTGCACACACAACAGTGCTAATCTTGCGTGACACCCTTTAAAGGGTCCTCGGACCCTGCATGGTACCCTGGACTGGAATCACCGAGTTAAGGATATATACCACAGAAATCTCTCTCCTTCTCCCTCAAGTAGTGATCAGAGTTTAAAGATATTTTTTGGGTCAACATCTACAACCTAGAACAGTAGTTTTCAACCTGTGGTCTACGGTCACCTGAGGGTCTGCATTTGAAATTTCCATTTGAAATTTTCAAGGGGTTTACAGATGGGAAAAAAAGTAAAACTAATGGCCTAGAATTAAATACTAATACTCTACTCCAGGGGTGGCCAACCAACATAGGTGCTACAAATAACATGGGCAGCCTCTGTTCATGGCATGCAGCAGACTGGGAAGGGGACAATCAGCACAGTGGCTGATTGTAAGACAGGGAGCAGAAAGCAGATCGGGCGGGGGATGGGAATGAAAGTGGCACTTGGTGCTAATTTGTGGCATGCCTGCCAAAGAGTGTGGCCCCCACTGCTCTACTCTAAGGTTTAACAGCAACAAGGTTCAAACCCAAGTAGCAGGTTGCACATTAGGTGGTTCAATGAGAGGACCAGGACTTGGAGATATACTTAAGGGGCAGCAGAGCAATCTGTTGTTGTATGTACCTTTTTCTTGGTCTCCAGACTCATTAGCTAAGCCCTATGCTGTGCAAATGAACTCCATCTCTCTCCATATATAGATCACCTATCATGCAGCAGATCTGCACCAGTGACCACTGCAGCTGTGGAGCTAAATATATCACTTTTCATCTTCAAGGCACTTTACATTGAATAACTTTAATTCTCACAGTATCCTCTAGCTACACTGGGAAGAGTGAGTCACACTACATCTGAAGAAACAAATCCAAGCCTGGAAAGCAAGTATTCGCTCTCTGCTTTGTAAGATAACATCCCTGCTTGTTATCCAGGTCAGAGAGCACAACTCAGATGGAAATGCTCCATTGGCAATTACAGTTTGGGCTGTTTTAGGCATGGGACTTCATGAGTGGCCAAATGTTAGCTGGTAACTTTGCAATGTTTTTGAGAGACCTTTCTTGAGGAAATGATACAGTGTACTGGGGAAAAACTCCTTCAAGCACTATACTGGGATGGAGGCAGAATGAAGGGATATAGACTTACGTTTTGCATGTCTTCATTGCATATCCTTTGTGCAAAGTTCTGTTTTGCAAGTACAGGGAAAATAAGACCTGAATTGCTGTAGGAAGGCAAATGGATTTGATATGGGAAAGGCAAAAAAGTAGTGATTCAAAGAGATGGGCTTTTTCAATGAAATGTTTAGTTTGGCTACAGTAAAATCCTGGGTTTGCCTAATGTATTGAAAAATACCTGTTCTTGAATAAGCAAGCTGAATGTAAGTACTGTCAGGGCTGATGGTAAATTAACTAATAGTATTTGAACCTTCTCATACCCTGTGGAATCCATTTAAATGCGCTGCTGACTTCAGCAGCCCAGCAGATAACAGGCTGTCATGGTGACTGAAGGAAGTTGATTGCGGAATGAATTATATTTTCCATTTCGAGAGGATAGACATATTGTTGCAATATTGATTAAAAGACTAAAAAGAGGAGTTGTAATAAGGTGGTTTTTTTTAATGATGCTATTTATGAATAAGCTCTGAAATAAGCCATTTTCTTGCAGGAAGAAGTCTGTCTCTGCTAAAAGTAGTATAAAAATATTCCCCTGGCATCCCATGAACATCTTTCTGTAGCAGTTTAAATTGAGAGAGATTTTTGCCATCTAAATTCATAGTAAAAGAAGTCCAAAAAAACAAGACTCTTCAGGGCAAAGGTATTACCTTCGTATATATGCTGTGCATATTGCTGCTGTTACGTACAAGCATTAGGATAAGATTTTCAAAAGCACACCAGCAGCTTAGGCCCACAAGTAACCTTCATTGGGGCTAAAAATCTCCCTCCCTCTTAAATATTATCACCATGTACCTGATTAATAAGCTTAGAATGAAATGTGCAAACTGGTTCTACTTTCTGCTGTAACTTTTCTTACTGGAACTTCACATTCTGTATTTATATTTTAATAGGGCAAGCATGGTGTGTATTATCTTGTGAAGCATTGCAGTAAACAATGTCGTCCCTTTTAAAAATGAAAAATGATGGGGAAATATGGTCCTAGGATTGTATTTGCTAAATGAAACCAAGCCTCTTACATTGCACCAAGTATGTGGAAACTTTGAAGAATAGCTTTAGTGCCCACGGCTGAATAAACAGTGTGTGTGGGATGGAGGCGGGGGGGGGTTTTTTTTAAATTTTGGTTCTTTTCAAATATGCCAGTCTTGGCAGTTCTGTTACTGTCAAGTTTTGTCTTGGAGTATGGTAAATGCTGGTAAATGTGGCAGCATCACAAGCAGCTTTTTACTTCCGTGGTCACAAACTCTCTTCAGCATCTGCCAGGTTGGTTAGCACTCCTTAGCAATTCATCTCTTTCGTTTTAAGTAGTCTTTTTTCATCTTGTGCTTTATTCTTGCTTCTGGCTTAGTGTCTGCTCTGAAATCTAAAATCCTGTGGTCAAGTATATAATGTACATGTAATATATCGACAGGATACCTTTAATACTGTTTTCTTAGTTTGGGTTTTAAATAATACTTATCTAAATCCCAAAGTAGGATTGCAATTTCATTCCCTTTTCCCCACAGAAATGAAACTTGTCCCTGCCAAACTGAACCTTTTTTCAGGTTAGATTTTTTTTTTTAGGAGTAGGAATGAAGAGATAAGGGATTTCATTTCCTCACTTCAAGTTCAGTTTGGATTTTGAAAAGCTAAGCATAGTCTTGTGATCACACAGCCTAAACACAGTCATTCAAAAAACCCAAGCCTGAATTGATTCAATTTTTGCAGGTTACTCTAAACTGAACCAGCAAGCAAGTGAATAGACATTAACTTTTGATT